CCCAAGTGTGTAGTTTGGCGATGTGTTGCAGGGCAGCATCCATTCCCGAGGCTCAGGACCTTTCCCGCTCCTCCTCCAATGCTAGCAGCTTTGCCAGCGTAGTGGAGGAGCACGAAGCAGACGAGGAGTACGACACTGGACTGGTGGGTGGAAACAGGCAGAGTGGTAACACATGATGAAAATACACACATGATGTAGATCAGTACACCGAAACAGCAGGCGGCTTCTCAAAGCTGATGACACATTTGTAGTTCCATTAACACATGTCTCACTTTTACTTTGGGGAAAAAAATTTTTTTTTTATCTGCTGTTTGTTGTGAACTAAACAACAAAGGATGTTTGAGGGATTTCACTACATCCCACTAATAACAGGTCTCAAAGTGTATTGCATAGTAATAGTATATTACTGTGTTTATCCATTTATTTCATTTGAACCATTTTGCATCTAAAATAGAAACAAAAAATAATAATACAGAAGTGGAGCAGAGCTGTGGTTGTGGTTATGCTGTCTGCTTGTCCTTGCAGTACATAGTTGTTCAAAAAAGGGGAACTATTTCTAACTTGCTTTACCCCTCCCTACAGGAAAGTGTGTCTTCTTGTGTTACGCCACTCAAGAAAGACTCATTTGTGTACAGCTCTGCAGTGGAAGACAGTGCGTGCGGTACCAGCCAGGGGAGTTTTCCAGGTAAGGTTAGGAGAAAGTGGCTCATATTACTGGGTCAGTGATAGCTTGAAGGTGTGAGAAGCAGGCACATTACCAAAGGTCGACTGTTTCACTTATCCAGAGTATCTGGGGGAAATCTAGGTGGGCCAGGTGTAAGAATAACACTCTCTGCTTCCTGAGCAATTAATATTGGTGTCACGATCGTGGTGTGGAGGCAGGTTGGAGAACCCAAACGCAGGACACAGAGCAGGGCAGGTATGGTACAATGAAGGGTTTTAATAAACAAACAAAAGCGAGCACACTTACAGGTGAGTGGCTGAATAACTGAAATCCAAAAGTACCGGGAGACGAGACAAGACAAGCAAGGCTGGTTAGGCAGGCAGAGAGTACACGCACGACAGACTGAGGGGTAACATAAACAATGACCGGACAAGGACAAGACAGAAACACCAGGTATATATACACAGGGACTAACGAGCAGGGTGGGAGCAACACAGGTGACAGACATGAGACTAACGAGGCAGAGAGAGAGAGCAGAGGAAAACAGAGAGACTAGACATGACAAGCAGACTATATAACAGATACTGGACACTAGACAGGACAGAACCCAAAACTCAAAAACTCAAAAGTAAACACAAAGGATGGCCAACCGGCAGAGCGTGACAATTGGAGCACTCTTGTGTGATGAACTTCACCTCAGCTGCAGCAGTGGAGCTCACTGCCAACAACAGGCCCAGTCTGTGTAACTTAGCAACTTTAAATTAATGAAGTTTACCATGCCTAAAAAGTAGAGCATTGCAAAGTTTGCTGTGATTCCCACACAGCTTCTGTTAAGCTGCACATTTTGTTTTCTTTTTCTGTCACTAATAATTCACTCTGAACCATTAATCTTTTGCATGCTTACACAGCTGGCAGCATTATACGCTTGAGTTTATTAACCATGACAGCCATGTATCTGTCGCCTCCTTCCCAGCAGCTTCTCATCTTCAGCAGCAACTGGATGGAGTGAAGACATCAGAGCCAAAAGGGACAGACAGCCAGTCCAAGACAGATCACCCCTCACAGGAGCACAAGTTCTCATCGGTGAGACAAACTGCTTGTCATCAGTCATTAGGTGACACTCAGATGGTTTTTCAAAGTCACTGCAAAGAATGTTTTGTTCTGATTAATTGTTTAAGTCAATTATTGAGAAAATGGACCAATTGGCTCTTATTCCAGTTTACATGCTTCTTTTTCTGTTTGATATATCTTTGGGTTTTGAAGATGCCACCTTGAGTTCTGGGAAATTGTGATAGGTAATTTTATATGGGTGATGGGTGGACATTTTATAGACTGAAGATCAATCAGACTAAGAGTACAGCCATGCTGGCCGCTCCGTGAGGCTGTACTCACAATCACAGCCAACCATTCTAACATCCTCATTATGACAATGTTAATATGCTGTTGCTTATTTTAGTGTGTTAGCATGCTAACAGATAGTAATTAACACTAAATACTACACAAAATGTAACACAAACTGTATCTGAGGATGATGGGAACACCCTTAGTTTTTCATGTATTTGGTCATAAACCAAAGTATTGGACAAATTAAAATTTTGATCTGATGATAGCGCTAGATGAAAAGTTAAGGGATCACCAAAGTTATTACAATCCATCCTGAGGGGAACATGAATAGCAATCCATCCAATAATAAAACCACAAATATGAACCTCCTGGTGGCGCTAGTGGAAAAGTGAGGAGGATACTTATTCTGGGTAGGAAGAATGTTAAAAAAAAAGTATTAATTAAATTAGAAAGCTTTTTTCCCCAGTGGGGAAATTCATTTGCCACCGGATCACATCACACAGTAGACAACATAAACAGAAAAGACAACCACTACATGCACACAGAACAAGAAATTAAACCAGTACACCCATTAAAAGCCTTTTAACACCCAGGCATCTTGAGTTGGCCTATGAAGTGTCATAAAGTCACTGTTGAGTGGATGGTCTACAAGATCCATGATATTGCTTTAGTTTGGCGCTTTCTTTACTATGAGTCACTGGCAGGTTTCTGCTTACATCAAAGGATTTAAATTTTCTCAGGAAAAATAGCGTTGAGTGTGGCTTCTTGAAAACAGTGTCTGTGTTATTCTTTCAGTTTAGTTTACTGTCAAGGCAAACCCCAAGATATTTATGGGACTGGACGATTTCAATTTGCTGATCTGTAAAGATCACAGGAAGAGCCTCCTCCTTCTTACTCCTAAAGTCGTTAATAAGCTCTTTTGTCTTCCCACCATTTAGTTTTAAGAAGCTTGACTCACCAATTCACAAAGGAGGCAACTTCTCTTTTATGGCCGGGTCATCACCTCGATTAAGGACACCAACAAGTGCAGTGTCATTAAAAAAGTGACTGGATGTGGCAAGATTCCTGACTATGCCTGTTGTCAGCAGTGTAGAGAATGAATAAAAAAGGGGATAAAAACATGCCCTGTGGTGCTCCGGTTTTAGTTTAGCTCCTAATTAGTTTCTGATACTTTTTTTTTTTTTATCAAACTGGGGACATAAGTGATCCAATAGGTGAGATAATTCAGTCTGAATCAAAGTAGTGCACTGACTGCCATGCTGCTAGCGTGACTAAAACAGAAGTGATCATTAGTTGTAGTCCTACGCTGAAGTTTTATGTTGTTGCAGGTCATTTATTATTGTATTTGTCAATATTAACTGTGCCGTCATCTCTCCCTGTCTGTCTGCAGAACTGTTAGCCATACTCCTCTGATAGCTACATCAACGTCCGTTTTCAGGTAAGACATAATGTTGAGGCTACTTAATGACAGTATGACTATAAAGATTTATTTTCTTCATTTGTTTTCTACTTTCTTCCCACATTTTAACCACAGACGAGAAGCAGAACTAGAAGCCAGATCAAGAGACTGACGGATCTGCTTTTGTATGTTTGTCATGGATTTGCTGCCTGTAATGACAGACCCCCAGCTCCATGGACATGTACCTACCTATCGCCCTCATTCCAGCTCCATGCGGAACCCTCCTTGAATGCTCAAGGCAAAGGAAACCTCCACACCCATGCAGCATCACTATTGACTGTCAGCTGGTTTAGCAGAATAAATCTGGCTGTCTGCTCATTCTTCAGGCCAGTAAGCTCTGAAACCTGATTCTTACTGTAAACACTACAGATCAGGATTAGAAGAGGGGTTTAATGTTACGACTAAAAGAGTGGTAAGGTGAAAAAGAGACAGACAACTGGTGTTTGTTTAGCTTGTGAAACAGCGGGTCTATAGAGAGGATAATTGCACTAGAGAGGAAACTGTTTTTTAATGTCAACCTTACATCCCACTGTGATATTGTACATGGGTTAAACTTTGATGTACCGGGTGTGTGGGTGGCTGTCTGTCAGGCCACTACTTGTGTTTTATTGAATTTATTCTTCTTCTGAGTATTCTGCACTGTCATGTTTGACGACAGCTTCAGTATATCTGTCATGTTTTTGATGGAGGGTACTTCTGAGATGCTGTTGTTGGTGGCTGTAATAGCATCAGTCACCTTCCTCCTAGGTGCGTGAAGGGAGAAATAACTGCATTTTTTAGATTCAAATTTAGAGTTTACAGTATGTCTGTAGAAAGAACATTTTAACAGAACTGTAGACTCCATCAATGCTATATAATTAGAGTAAAGTGCATAATTACAGTAGTGCCCCAACCAGCAACATGCATCCTCATTCTCCCCTTCAAGGTACTGCTGTTTAGACCTTTGTCTCCAAATACTGTTTGTCACACACCACTTGTTGATTTGATGTCTGTGTACAGGTGTGTGTATACAACGGTACTGTGCATGGTGTAAATCTGCTTGGCAAAAACCCTCCTCTGTACACTGGTGCCATGCTTGACATAGAGGTGTTGTCCCTGTGATTTGTGTTTTATTGAAAACCAGCCGACATCTCCAGATGCAGTGCACATTGCTGGTAGAGAGCCAAATGCCACAGTTTCCTACTTTATTTGTTAAGTGTAATATATGTGCGTGACATAAGCACTACATTACGAAGTCCAAAATACTTACCTTTTGAAAAACCTGATTTGTTGCTGAATAAGAATTACACTGTGACTCGTCTTGAAGTTGCCTTTCTAATGATTGTGTCGTGTGAGCTGCTTTGAAGGACAGTCATATTTAAAGGCACTGCATTGCCAACTGGCTTGAATGTAAAACTAGGCGGATATGTATTTATTTGTACATATCTGCGCCAATGAATGGTGATTTGGTGTTGACTCCTGACCACAGTAAACTTGAGTCTGCAACATCTCACCTCTCCTGAGCGGAGAAGCTTTTTCCTATCTTCGGTTTGTTATGAAAGGAAGAACTGATACATGAAGTTGTTTTATTTCAGTGATACAACTGAAGCGGACATGAGATTTATTGTCTGTAGTAAATTAATGACAGCATTTACAGTTTGTGAAAGTACAAAAGAGTTAAGACACCGAACCAAATGCAAAACAGCTGTAATCATCAAGCTGTTTATAGCTACAATTTTCTTGGAACAAAGTAACATGTTGCATTTAACGCTACAGGAAAATGGCATAGAAAAAAAAAAAGTATTTGGACTGTAATTAATTTCTGTAATAATAACACATTTGTATATTACAGCCTTTAAAATTGATTTGGGATCATTTCAAATGATTTTCCTCTGGACTTTGAGTAGATGAAGTACGCCCTCTTATGGCTCTGTATTATTAAAGCATATGTGGTACCATTCATCTAACTGTGCTTGCACTGTATGCCAACAGCTGGTCCAAACCACAGCAGGATTGCAAGTGAATCTTCTATGTGCTCGATTCAAATGATTGTATTTTCTGTTCTTGTCAACAGTCTGCTTAAGCCCTTGTTCAAAAGATTTGTTTGTATATATTGCTTTTCATCATTTTGTAAATAAAACCAACAAAAATGTTTAATAAAGATAAAGATGCATACAGTAGATCATGATCCCTGGGGTAAATCTTCTAACATAAATGGGTAATGTGAGAGTATGTTGGTATGAAAATGAGGCTAACATTGTTTGGAAGTGGCATGTATTTCCAAAATGATAAGAAATTTAAGCATTTTGTGATTTAAAGACATAGCGATAATGTAAGGCTTTAACAAGAAAAACATCTCTTCCAACCTCAAGCACACTCCTGGTGCCATTGTTGTCTTAAACAAACAAACTTTCTGCCTGTCAAAGCAATCTCCATCAGCTGTAGAGTTTTCATTCACATCTCCAGGTTCCACCACTTGAATTGAAATGGTTCTCTGCGGACGTTGGAGCCACAGTGCACCTCTCCCAGTAGTTTGTGGTAAGTGGCAAAGTCATCAATGAACGTGCAGTTGAGACCCAGGCCCTCCATCAGGGAGCACATCTCAGCCTCCAGGACACAGCGTCCATTCACCTTGGGCCCAAAGGGCTTCGGGATGCCGAGGTTTTTCCCCAAGACAATCATGTTCACCTGGGAACAGATGTGATGAGACTAACAGTTGTGCGATCAGCTCCTAGATTTACTCACATGTTATTTCTAACTGATGAGTGCTTTAATACCTCTTAAATTGGAAATTTCTCACAGATGTCTAAACATACCATGTCAGGGTAGTAAGCCACAGCTCTGTACGCCTCCCCCTCGTCCTCTACCAGTAACTTGAAGAGTATTGGCAGGTCGATGATGTCCTCATCATCCAGGCCCAGCTCTTTCTTCAGTACATCCCTATTCCAGTCGATGCAGCTCTGGGGGGGAAGACATCATCCATTATACATACTCTAAAATACACACTACATACACTTTTTAAAACTCATTTTTTCTCATTATATTCTGTAACCTTGAGCTGTCTTTTACAGCAATTCTGTTGCAAAGTGTTCTACACAAAATAAGCAATAAAAACAAAACAGTAAAAAATAAACAAAAAATAAAAAGAATGTACCCGTATGTCTCAAGATAATCTAAGTACACTATGTGTCCAAGAGTATGTGGACACTCCTTCTAATAAGCAGGTTCAGCTGTCTCAGACACACACCCATTGCTAAAACATCTATACAACTCAAGCATATAGCCATGCAGTCACCTTTAACAAACATTTGGTCACAAGAAATGGGTCACATTATAGTGCTCAGTAACTTCCAATGTGGCCCTGTCGTTTGATCTTTCCAGTTAGTCAGTTTGTCAAATGTCTGCCCTGCTATATTTGTCCCAGTCAATTATCATTTATAGTGAAGTGCAAACATGTAGGAGCAGACACAGCTCATCGTGTTTGCAATAGAATAGGGCCGCCAAGTGCTGAATCACAGTGTAAAAATAGTTTGGAACCTGGAAGTGAGAGAAGACAAGCTGCTTTGAGAAACAACGTCGTCACAAGAACTGTTTAGCAGGAGCTTTAACTCAAGTGGCCGTGCAGAGGCACACAGAACTCAGATCAGTAATGCTAAATGTCGGCTGGGGTGGTCTCCACAGAGCAGTGGAAACTGAAGGTTATCTGAAGTGATAAATCCTTCCTCACTACCTGCTTTTCTGATGGACGAATCATGGCTGGATGCCTGAATGTTGACAACTGTATGGTTTGGTGGATGTCACAAATCCTCCCAGCTCATAAACTTTATGTAGTTATCTCTGTATTTTAAATCAGTTTACAAACTCTCCTGTCATTTCAGAGTTAATTATTTATTTGATTCTGCCTGAGCTACACGTTTTGACTCTGTTGGTCTCCTGCCTGTCAGATTGAATTTGTTTGCTTTTTTCGGCCTGATTATCTGGTATTCTGACCCTGCCGGCCTGTACCAAGTAAAACTGAATTTCATCTTTGTATTGCCTGTCTCTGAGTCTTGCTTCTGAGTTAACCTCTGCCAGTTTCCTCTGAAACAGTACACTGGGGCTGTTTAATGATTTATGCTTAGCCAATGAAGGAAAATCTTAATGCCAGAGCACCTTGACCAACACCTTTGGGAGGAACTACAATGCTGACAGCATGCAAGGCGTTATAGCCCAACATCAGTGCGCACTCTCAATAATGCTCTTGTGGCTGAATGGGAGCAAATCCCTGTAGCCAGATTCCAAAATCCTGTCGAAAGGCTTCACATCGGGTGGAGGGAGTTATAGCACCATGTTACAGTAACAATCATAGTTTTGAAATGAGATATTCAACAATTAGATGTTGTGTCTGGGTTTTGGCCATACAGTGCATATTACAGTAAATCCCTAGCAGGATGCCATATTTTATGTTTGGATTTTGTAGTGTTTAATGATCCTTTCTGGGCTTGAGTCTAATCTTACAATTCCACTCACCTGCACATAGTTATTTTCATCTTGAAGACTACTATCTTCAAGTATTTCATCCACGGTGATTGGTTCTTCATCTTTCAGACCTTTTTGGAAGTGTTTAACAGAGTGAAGTATATGATGAGGTTTTTTTTCATTGGTAAGATGCACATTGTACAGTGGACTTTCCATAGATAATAAATAAGTCAGCAGTAAGACAGACTTACCCTCAAACAGTTTTGCTTGTCCGTGTCCGTCCTTCTGTAAACCCCTGAATAGTTTGTAGCTTGCGTCTGGGCTGGCCAGCAGCAGGCGGAAGCCCTGTGCACAGAAACACAAGAGATAAAGATAACACTGGGTGTCTCATTTCCTGAGAGCTTATACAAACAACCGTAATATACCATACGTAACAGCATTCAGTAGTCAGCAGTCAGGTAGCAGCTTCATGTCTTATTTATATTGCAGTTCAGCAGTTTAAGTGGTTTCTGTTTAAACAGGAAATATTTACCTTTCTGTCAGGTGCAGGGACAAAAGTCATGAATTCATCTATGTGGCCGACATAGAGCCAGTCAGAAAATAAGGCAATGGGCTCCTGAACCTTCTGAGCCCACAAGAAGTCTTGTACAACTTTGGTCATGTTCCGTCCTTTAGTTGCCCTTATATAATGAGAGAGATGCAAGTATATTGACAAAACTTCTGCTGCATGTTCCGTTTACTGCACTGTCCCACAACAATGAACAGGATATATTAATCACATGCAGCTCATACACAAATTATTCATAAGTCACGGAACTTGTCTCTGTATCTGTTGCAAACTCACGTGGGGAAGGCCACTCCAATGATGATTCTGCCCAGGGGGTAGTTTTTTCCATTCACAGTGACGGGAGGACTAACCTCCAGATTACCGAATGAGTCCAGACTGCTCACATCTTTTCTCTTGGCCACCCTCGTCACATAGCCAAAGTCGGGTCCCTGAGGACATCAAGGTGATTAAAGATACCCTCCAGACGTGTTTCAAGACATTTGAAAATACTCTTCTTTCAACAATAATTCGTGTCTGAGGTTAAAAAGCTTAAAATTATAAATATCTCCATAATTTAAAGATCAATAATATTTTTCATTTCAAAAGTTTAATTGTCGGATGCAAGATGTCTTCTACTTCACTGAAAACATATTTTTTCAGTCTATGTGCAGTTGGAAGTTCCCACATCACACTTGTCTAATAATAATAATAATAATAATAATAATAATATTGAACTACAACTGGTTTCCAAACTAGCAGTGGTCACAAAATCATGATCCTACATACATGCCTTAAACACAGATTTAAGGTGAGCACAGGGAATATTTCCCCCTTCAGCAGATGAATGTGAAATGAAACAGCCTTCTTGTGTCAAATGCTACACGTATATCATTCTGGACAGTAGAAGTAACAATCACTAAATAACAATTTTGAGTGAAGTTTGGTTAAAAGCGTTTTGTCTCTCATAACACTTCACTTTAAGAGACATTTAGTGTTTCACCAGTAGCTCATCATATGGAAAATCCTGGAGTTTTCCATCTCGAGGGGAATCCAGAACAACAGGAAACTGTTGATGAGGTGAGTCGATGTAGCCAAACTCCAGCTCATCCTGAAACATAGAGATATGAGTTATATTTCTGCTGTCAACAATAACTTATAATTTTATATATATATATTATATATATATATATATATATATATATATATATATAGTGTGCCCATCTAGTTTTTTTACCTGCATCCATCGATCTCCTCTATTCTGATACTTATGGCAAATCTTCAGCTTGTATCCACTCTTTGCCACAAGGTTCCTCATTACTTTAAGGAACTGGTAGTTATCAGATGTGCTAAGAAGGTAACCACAGGCAAAAAAAAGTTTTTTACCAAGCAATATTTTGCAATCCTCTTGTTTCTTTTAAAAACTGCAAATCCGACTGGCTGTTTGTATCTTTACATTCTACCAATAACGTTATTATCAACATCAAAATCCAAGTTATTTTGGGCAAAACAAAACACAAATGCAATGTAAGACACAAAAACAAACCTAGAATGACATATGTAAAACAGATAAAACTTAGGTTCATGGATGTTTCTGTGTACCATCATTTACATGAGTAATCATTTTCTTTGTAGTATTAGCAAAAATGAATGGATATTGAATGTGTAACACTGTAACATCCTGTTGCCACATCTATTACATCTATTGCCACCCCCATTATCATTATTATTCATCAGTTAGCTCTTACCTGCAGACAAACACCTCCACAGGCTGGAGGGTGTTTGGTGTCATGATCCACGGAGCCACTTTGAACACGACTTTGTCTGTGAAAATAGGCGTCTCAGGGACACCCTGTTAAAACATGAGAGGCTGCCGAGTATAGCCAGCTATACTCCTCTTCATGTATGTTTGTAATGTAATGTGACCAAATAAATGCAGAGAATTTGGTTTGCCCAAAAATTTTTTTAAAAATCTCAAGATCCACCTACTAGCATTGTTAGGAGCTTTCAGGAAGACTGTGAGAAAAGTCTGAAAGCAATGAACAACTAAAAAAAGTTCAGTGTGTAAGTTTTAATGGCATCTAGTGGTGAGAACTGCGAATTGCACCGCCCCTCCCCTATCCAAGCGAGTTGTATAGCTATGGTGCCTGAGACAGGACAAAAGATGTCCTCGGTTAGATAGCAGAGAGTTGCCAGTCAAGATATCAGGTTTCTTTAGATTGATATATTAAGAAATTATATTTACTTGATTATTCAAAACCATATGTTATTGTGAATACTATTGTTACTTGTTCATTAAACAACAGCCACATCAAGAAATGAAGTGTTACATGATGTCTCATACTCCTGTAATACATTATTTTACTGTAGTTTAATCATACTTTTTGTTAAATCTTGGGAGGTTTGGCTCATACCAAAGTAAATGAAGAACATCTCAGAAACTATCACATCTAGTGCATCAAGTATGACCACTGACAGATAACAGGACAATGTAAGCCTCACTGTTTCTGCACCACAGCCCATTATAAACAACATAATACATAAAGTTCACAAAGGCATTGGCTGGTGAGGATCAAGGCTCCTCTGGCTTTGCTTAATTAATTAGATAAGCAATCTGCAAATCTTACCAAAATATCTTTTTTAATTTTTTGAAATACAACAGCCATAATTTCAGCTTGTAGTAAAACGGTGCAACTTTTTTAATGGGCATTTAGCATGTGAAAGTATAAATTACACATTTCTGTGCACAGTTGCAAAGCACTTTTTTTTTTTACGTAAATTCGGAAAATATTCATTATTGGTCACTTGATAGGCACACGGTCATGTTATGTTTCACTATTAGCGGTAAAATAAATACATGTTTCCACCAGGGTAGTATTCAACAGAATTTTAGCTGCTGAGCTTCCATGCTGTTACTGTTTTATTGCCAATAACATTCATCAACTGTCTCAGGAAGGTAAGGGCACATTTCTGTCCACGTTGCAAAGCCATAACAGAGCGCTGGAGAATCACTACATTAAATTACCATCCAACAACAAATTTTTTCTACCAGGGCCGTAAAAGTTTAGCTGATCTGAGCTTTCATGCTGGAAGCTACGTTTTATTGCCAATTAGTGATCAACTGATTATTTCACGAACATAACTGAAAAAGCCAAAACAGAGCGCTGGAGAGAGAGAGAAACTACATGAAATTATTCCAACTACATACTTTACACCACAAGCCAAAGCACAGCACGGGAGAATAACTACATGAAATTAATCCAACTACATGTTTTTTTCTACCAGAGCAGTAAAAGTTCAGCTGGCTGATGCTTCCATTCTGTAAGCTAAAGTTACCATTTTATTGCCAATTAACATTACTGATCGGCTGATTGTCTCCCTAAGGTAACCGGAAAAGTCAAACCACAGCGCTGGAGAATAACAAGGCTACATGAAATTAATCCAGCTAATGTTTTACACCACTGACAGGGGAACCGAGTCACTTCTCTCATTGATTATGGCCATCTTCTAGCTAAAGCTATCAAACAACAGCTTTCATTTGCATCGCTAAAGTCTGACTAACTTAATTACCTCTCCAGCAGAAAACAGACAACTTCAGCTCCGCTTTGAAAAAATTTGTCCCACATCAAATCCTTCCATCTGGGAAAATCCACACTGATTAGTCCCTGTTTTTTTGCAGTTATCTGTCTGCATCTGTCCCAACTCCGTCTGGCTTCATGGTATAAAGATCAACAGGCTCTTGTGCTAAATAACACATGTGCTCCTTCATTTGTCCAAATGTGACACCACTGAAAACATAGTTACGGATATTATATTGCATTTCTGTCAATAAATCCTCAGAAATATTACACACTGAACCTTTAAGTAAACCTTGAGTTTTTATCAGGACTAACAAACTATATTGTTGTTGTTTTTTAAACAAATTAATCACAAACAGTTTTACATAAAATATGATTGATATGATTAAACAACATAAGGAACTCATAGTTGTAGATGAAATAAAGATTGTGAAATAATGGATGCCATGTTGAGGATCTTACTGCACTGATGGGCTCCAGCAGACTGAGGTTGATGCTGACAAGACCATCGAAGTCTTTGTCAGGAAACCTGAGGCCCTCCACATAAAAGTTCATCTCTGCAACACCTCCGAGGTAAGGCACTTCCTGTGACAGGACCTTACTACTCAGGACCAGTGGATAGTCCTTTACAAAGTAGTCAAAGAGTTTATCTGCAGAAGTAAAAACAACATGATAGTTAAAAAAATGTTTAAAGATAGCAGATCAAAACAGCAGAGTGTTAACTAGCCAGCTGAATTACATGCATGTTACATCATCTGCTCTGGGGCTTTCACTCCCCTCATCTTTACTCACTCAGGGGATTATTCGACACTTCAGAGGATTTGGACTGGAAGACTCTGACACTCTCTGCGTCTCCCTGAGAGATGTGCATTGTGAGCTTGTAGCCCTCTGGGAGTTGAGCAGGGCCTTTGGTCCGCAGCACCATGACAGACATGTCTTTCAGATCTGTACATCCACAAAGAGTCCTGTTAATGTTGTTTAATCCTAGATACCATAAATTTCAAATGTACATGTAACAAATAGATATGTAGAAATATATATAACAAATAGACATAAATGTACTTGAGTGATTTTAACTCTGATGGTAAATGCTAATGTCAATATGGGGTAACATCCATGCCAACTTTAGGGACACACACACACACACACACACACACACACACACACACACACACACACTCTAATACCAGTTTTTACTACATTTCAGCTCTTCTGGGTTGTCTACTGCAAAGTAATTTGAGAGCTCTTCTTTATCAACCCGCCCTTACACTCACACAAAGGTTTGTAGATTTGTAGTTTTATCAAACTGATTTCTCATATCAACACTTTATTCTGCTGACTTTGCAAAAGCAAATATGAGTGGCCTTTTAATGCTGACAGCAGAAAATCCAAATAGTGCAGAGGGAAGAAAGAGCACGAGAGAGAGAGAATTCAGTGGTAATAATAATACATTTTATTTATTGGCGCCTTTCTGAAAACTCAAGGTCACGTCACAAAGCATAATAAAACAGCACAGCAATAATCGATAAAATTAACAACTATAATTACAGTGCATAAAATCCGGGTACAAAACAACTGGAAACAAAGATTGAGAAAGAGTGATCATGTGGGATATGCCAGTTTAAAAAGATGTGTTTTCAGGCGGGATTTAAAAATGGAAAGTGAGTCAATGTTACGGATGTCTGGTGGAAGAGAGTTCCAGAGACGAGGGGCAGAGAGGCTAAAGGCTCTGAACCCCATGGTGGTCAAATGAGCAGGAGGTACAGTGAGGTGATTAGAAGAAGAAGACCTAAGAGTACGGGTGGGTGTGTTAATATGAAGGATGTCAGTGAGGTACCAAGCAGCGAGGTTGTGAATGGCCTTAAAGGTCTGGAGTTTTGAAATCAATGTGGTATTTAACTGAAAGCCAATGAAGCTGCTGAAGGAAAGGAGTAATATGATTAATAGAAAGGGTTCTGGTGATGATCCGGGCAGCAAGTTCTGAACCAGTTGAAGTTTATGTATGGATTTGAGAGGAAGACCAACGAGAAGAGAATTACAATAATCAATGTGGGATGTGACCAGTGTGTGAACGAGAATGGCTGTACTAGTGGGTGAGAGAGATGGTCGGAGGCGTTTAATGTTACGTAAATGGAAGTATGCAGACCGAGTGACATTATTAATGTGAGCTTGAAATGAAAATGTGCTGTTGAGGATCACACCCAGACTCTTGACCTGAGGGGACGGGGAAACTGTGGAGTTGTCAATGGTAAGAGAAAAACTGACAAATTTAGTCAAAGTGGATTTGGTGCCAATGAGGAAACCTTGGTTTTGTCACTGTTCAGTTTGAGGAAGTTGCAAGAGAACCAGGATTTGATTTCCATTAGGCAATCAGAGAGGGATGTTGGTGGGAGGGATGTGGTAGGTTTGGCAGACAGGTAGAGCTGGGTGTCATCCGCATAGCAGTGGAAATGGATGTTAAATTTACGAAAGATATGGCCAAGAGGAAGCAGATAGATGATGAACAGAAGGGTTAGGGTTAGACAGAGTCCTGGGGAACACCAGTAGTGACAGGGGATAGCTCTGAATATAGCTATTTGAAATGTTTGAATTGGATGAACTGAGCGTCAGTACTATATTACCTGACACTTTGGAGATGAAGTCCTCCTCGCTGTCTGGCTGCTTCCAGTAGGTCCGCTCTGAGTCACAGTTGACCAATACGATGGCTCCATGCCCTTTAGGACCCCATTTCCAGGATCCCTGACAAGTTTTCAACAAAACAGATGTTGATGTGTTTGGATTGACAGTTTCCCAGAAAACCTAAAACAAGAGGTTTTCTGAAACAGCTTATACTTCGCCTTAAGCAAATACCTTGCCTCTGATGGAGAATATATCAGAGGAGAAAGTTAAATGGAGTGAAACTGTTTGCGTGCAAAGTGTTAAGGCAAAACTTGTCTCTTACCACAGCCAGTTCAGGCTTGTACAGAGAGATTATCTTATTCAAAGTAGGAAGAATGAATGTTAAAATATCTCAAACAGAAGTAGGAACACTTTAAAATGATAACTATACAGAACTGAGTTCACTACATTAATAGAATCCTTTACATTTCGTTACACATGGCATGTTATTGTTATTATGTTATGTTATTGTTTATTATAAAATATCTCCTACACTGGGTGTCAGACTTTGCAGTGCCATCTAAAACTGAGACATTTTAGCTCACCTTATTAGGGTTGTTTTTCTCCACAACACCGTCTCTGTCAGCATCCACATCCAGAGAGATCTCTGAGTGACAGACATATTTTGTTTATAAGAGTGTCTGGCACACATTACAGCTCAGTATATTAACATTGTAATATTGGCATAATAGTTTCATAATAAAGATGCAATAATTAAGAAAAACCATATAATTACCAAAGTAACAACCAGGTAATAGCATGGTATTAACAATGGGGATATCTGGGTAATATTAGACTGAAATTTATGTAATGGGATAATAATGGGCCAAATACAAAGGGTAATAATGGGGAAACATATTTAAAGAGTAACATATTTAAAGAAACTAAATAAAACTATTTAGGCTGGTAATATTATAGTAATATTTTTAAAAGAATATGTTAATTTTAACAATAAAATGGTTATATCAGTGCAACAGTTGCATAAAAATGTTAATATGATGACATTAATGGGTGTACAGTATTATCTTCAAACAAAAGGGAATGTTTGGGTCATACAGGAGGATCAAATTCAGCATTATAATATGGTAATTACTAATTTTGACTTCCAGGAATTTTCACGCTTTACTCTGATAGTAGGGCAACTCAGAGTGAAAAGGTTAAACATATCAAATTATTGGTTGTTATAAATCTTCTAATCAAAAGCATGTTGTTTTGTTCCACTTTAACTTACCAACAGCTGTGAGGTGAAGGATCGCTTTCCCCAACATCTCTTTATTCACCCCATAGTACTGGATAGACAACTTATAAAACAAGAAGTACAAGTCATTTATATGTACAAAATGACATTTGATAATTGTGAAATCTTAAAGAGAACATGAATGAAAATTATGACTTAAACTGTACATTGCAAAAGCAAAAGGCTCTTGAGCTTTGATCAGTGTAGAATATGTCCTCTGGTTATTTGAAAAGTGCAAATCATTAACTAAAAGAAGCTAAAAGGAACAAAGACTGATATATTTCCAGTCAATATCAGTCAGTAACTTTATCTGAATACACGGTTTTCACATGAACTTGAATCATGTTCCTGAGTGTGCATTTTTTCAATAACCAAATAATTTCCTGGAGCTTTCGTGTCCCATACCTCAGCACATAAGGAAACCAGAAGTATGACCTAATGCATTGTGACATCTGTGTTATGCACTTCAGAATCAGAATCAGAAGAATCAGAAGGAGCTTTATTGCCAAGTAGTGTTTTACACATGCAAGGAATTTGCTGTGGTGATAAGGTGCTACACGTAGACAAACATACAGTCAGCATAAATAAATGTAGAAATATAATAAATATGGAATGGAAGAACAATGTTACTTATATATACACATGTGCATTATTCATATATCTGTGCTGTGCAGAAGTAACGCAATGGAAGAGAATATTGTGTACATATAAATATATAAACTGACAACATAAAAATATACAACAACAAAGATCAACAGTCAACAACCAATATGTGCGACGTGCCAGGTCTGTGCCCGACACGAGTTGAAACAATATTTACATGTACAGAGACCTTTGTATCATTTCTTCTGTCCTACTTTACCTTGCTATCATTCTCATTTTGACTGGCACTGCTCATGCTGATGAGTAGTACTGATTTTCCATCGAGGGGGGTGGGAGAGAGGATGAGCGTCTCCCGTGGCTTCGGGCTGATGCTGTACTGAACATTGGGAGTGCACTTCACAGAGAAGAACTTGGAGTTTGGTGGGGCACTCCTGAGAATAAGAGAAATGTCCCATTTTGATACATGTTAGAGCTGCATTTACATAACAGAGACATACAGTTTACGTGTGTAAGAGCAATAATGACTTTATATACAAGGGAGGAAGAGCCCGGAAGTATGCAGGCAAGCTAGAAGCTCATATTTCCTAACAGGTGGTGACCCAAATTAGCAGCTGCAGTCAATCTAAAGTTAGTCTATATCACAAGCAAGATAAGTGATTTAAACCCATACAGTTGATTTTATTAAAATAATTAGGATGATGTGAGTTCACACACATGCATGATGACATTAAGTTGCAAATAGAAACTGCTGAGGGTGTTAAAAGTGGCAGAATAAAGAACTAAGAGCAGGTGGTAAAAAAACCACCAGGCCTCACTTGCAGAGTCAGAAGAAGAGGACGGCTACGCCTCCGGGCCACTTTGTCCCATTTTGTAATCCGAAGCTTTTCCTGGTATGTCGCATGTGAGTACATGCCTATATTCTGCGTAATGACCAAGAAACCTGATCTTCTCAATCTATTATCTTGATCTCAGGATTCAAAGTTTTCCTTAGAAATAGGCACCATGCAGTTCACTAAACTTAACAATGTCTTGATAAACAATAAACCCACATGCCTGTATGAAAGATTTATCAGTTGATGAAATTTATCATTTTATATTGAGATTCCAACGTAAAAGATTGGGGACAACATTCAACCTCGAGGCATCAGCAGTGAGCTTGTCAAACCAAATGAGTATCTTCCTCTTTTGAGTGTAAGTCTCTCTTTGTGTTATTACCCTTGCAACGCAAGGAGGTAGAGCGGGTTGGCCGTTAATCGGAAGGTCGGTGGTTCGATCCCTGGCTCCCCCTGGTTGCGTGTCGAAGTGTCCTTGGGCAAGATACTGAACCCCGATTTGCCCCTGGCGGCTATTCCGCCAGTGTATGAATGAGTGTGAATGTTAGTTTCCGTTTGAGCACTTAGGCTCAGTGTATGAATGTGTGTGACTGGTGAATGCAGATGTAGTGTAAAAGCGCTTTGAGTGGTCGAAAAGACTAGAAAGGCGCTATACAAGTACGGAGCATTTACATTTAACGCAGCTCAGCAAGAAACAGTGTACGAAATCACAAAAAAGGTAATTTTGTACTAAAAACAGAACTTACTTTGGTGGAAATCCACTTAATTTTACTAACTTGAACTGCTGAAACCTCATACTAGCTCCAGCTGAACTTTGAATGCATTTTTGCACAGAGCAAGGCCTGTTGATTTTGTCTGGAAACGCATTAGGACAGGATCTCTTCACGCCAGTATGGACAGGATGAATGACTGCAGCCTCTTTAGTGATTATTGCTTCTAAATAGACTTGAAAAAAGTGAACCTATTTAAGATTTAAATACAGGGACCCTTTACATGACTAGGCTTCTAGAATGGATGTCCTTTTCAATCATATCAGACTTAAATTTCTGGATATTTCAAAAACACCCTCAGAGCCCCTGAGGATCCGGGCCGTGTGCCAGTCTCCCACTCTGCCCAGTCAGTAATCTAGCCTTGCTCTGCTGTGTTGTGTAGGCTGGTATTTGGCAGAAAGAACAGCAGCTTTTCTTTTGGACAACAAAGTCTCTCCTGTTGGACAGCAACAACAGGGGATTGTTGATTCTCTCCACTGATACAAAACAAAAGACAAAGAGGCCTTCACCAGGATATGCAAACCAAATAGGCTACAGCTAGGACTGCTGTGTAATACATCAATTCAGCAGTGATTAACCTCCCTAAAAGAGTTACAAAAACTAAACAATATAAAGTTTGTGAAGGTAGTATCTATTGTCTACTGTTTAGATTATATTTAGTGACTGTATACGGAATAAACTAGCATCTGAGGGTATGTTTCATGAAAATGGGGATCTTTTAACTAAATCAATTGATCAAATGTCTGTGGAGATTCTCAGTCATCAAGGTCATCCAAAGAAGGGAATCTTCCTTAGACAATAGACTTTTGGAGCTGAATGTGACTGAACTGGTTGACAAACTAACAGTAGAAACCACCTGAGGTAAAATATGCTATGGGTGTAATAAATGAAATGAAATAGTTTTGGCAATATTGTTGCTATCAATTCATGCCAATAAAGTTAATTTGAATTTATCACAAAGGCAATATTGCTACAGCAAAGTAATAATTGCTAACACACAGTCCCGAGTAAAGGGTGCCTCTAGGCTGCCACTGTAGGTAGTGTATTAGTGCGCACTGCAAATGACACCAAAACAAGAGCCTACCTGTTCAGGTTCACATTAAGTTCCGAACCGACCACGCATAAAACACTTGTAGTTTTGTCATAATCTACTCTGAGAGTCCGGGAATGAACCATGGCTGCAGTCCTGTCGCCGTTTGCGAAGCAGTAAATGCCCTACGATTGTTCCGCTGTCAGGAAGCGACGCAATAGTCTCGCAGACTGAAGTAGGCTGAGAGTAACAAGCGATAATAAAGGCTGCAGGTATGGTTTAGTCTCTGTGTTCGCTCATTGGGCAGCCAACATCCAACCCCACCCCCAACACCGATGCCACCAATCTTCGTTCCTGCTCCCCGCCTGTCCTTCTGTTTAGGCCTATTTATTTGAAGACAGTGTTCGCTAAAATACTTTTGGCACATGTAGGCCTCCTAATAATTCATTAAAACCTAAGTAGGGATGGCCTGTGCATTACTTTTTGTATCTATAATCACTATATTACAGAAATATGAGCCGCACTAGTTTTCCCCACCTACTTAAAGTTGGCAAATTATATAGAACATTTTCATTTCAATAAATGTCATCTTACGTTTACATGATCGTCTGTCTACAGGTGTGTGTACAGTGTGTAGCTACAAATGCAGGGATAAAATCCCAGCCTGGTTGACAATCGCTATAAGAATGTCAGATAAGTTAACAGGGTGATGCAATCGTCAATTACAGTGACTCCCTGCCATCCCCAAAAACGTTTTTTCCAGGATAGGCTATTAATAATATTAATATTTTCAAGGAGGGAGTTATTCAAAACTTTGTGTCGGGAAAAGAATTACTGGGATAATAAATGATTTAGGCTATCATTTGTAAGTTATAATGACCCCTTGTTTGAGATTGGTAATTGCATTCACCTGTTAATTTACCTGGCGTTCTTAAGTAGGTGGCGTTTTGAGTAGACTGCCAGACAGATGATCAAGTAAACTTACTGAATGATATATTTGTGCGACTCTCTCCCTTCTGCTGCTGTGCTTCCAATTCTTACACAGAGGCATTTAACTGGCGAAACAAGGGCTGACTTTTATTATGAAATAGTCACAGTCTCTGTGTCAGTGCCTCCAAGGCGCTATGCATTAAAATAAAAGTACATTAAGGCAGACAGCTCGATCTGAAATGGATTAGACTCCTCATCATCACTAATAACATGCATCATCCTATCTATGTGTTTATGTTTAGGGTCTCTCGAAGATCGCATTGCAGCCACGCTGAATGTGTGGGGACTCCCGCAACATAAATTAAATCTATAGTAAACCTTCTCCATTATCCTTATTAAAATATGGTCACACTGCCCCGCTTGCTGAAAATAAAACCCCAGTTTGTCCTCAGGAGTAACACTACACAATCAATGAATTACTATATTATTTAATAAGAAAAAACTCTCAAAAGGCATAAAGAGGAAATTACCACCAACACCAGCAACTAAATGTGAAATACTAATTCTTACAGCAGCAGTTTTGAAAAACTTTTTTTGTGTACAGTAAAGGCTACCACAAAAACACATTGGACCGAGATCCAATCAAATCGATGCAAATGTTTGACAAGCTTAAGCACGAACCAGTAGAATGACTGGAAACTTGCTGGAAAGGGGCGGGGTGTAAGATATCCTATGTCATCAACTCAAGGGGCTTTGTTGTTCTTTCGGGACAGAAAGACGGAGAAAATTATTGTTTGTTAATCGTTAACAGTCGGCCTGAGCAAGGATAATGTTTCACAATCAAAAGCAACTGTGGAAGTTAACCGTTGCCGTCTGTTAAACAGTAGTGTATTTGCGGGACCAAATCAGCTCGGCAGTGAGCTAGCATTAGCCATTTCGGGGGGAGCGTCAGGAATTCCAGGCATTGGGAAGAAGAGGAGAAATCTCTGTTGGGATGCCTCACACAAGTTGGGAAAAAACTGTATTATACAGTTCCGCCTGGAGCCATGAAATGTACGCCAGAAATATGTGTTCGTTTGACTGATATCAGATTTCAGGGACAATCTCGTGGTAATTTTGTAACTGTTAACGTGCCAGTTTAGCGAGTTAGCCACGTAGCTACGTAGCCTTCAGTAGGAAGTCATTTAAAATGGCGGAAGGTTTGTTCATTCCTTCGGCCCTTGTCTTCATGCTGTTGACTTTGAGTGGCTGGGCTCTTGGGTCTTGTCCTGCTCCTTGCTCGTGTTATAAAGGACAAGATGAGGTCCGTATTCTGGACTGCAACAGGAAAAGGCTATCGACGGCTCCCAGCGACCCACCAGATGGGATAACTCAAGTGTAAGTAAAATTGTTTAGACGAAGATGTGTTGAAGTTAGTCCTGTACTGATTCCACAGAACTTAATAACATTTTACCTGGAGATGTTTGTCTGTGATTTTGTTTGGTTTTGGACTAACGTTAAATGCATTTTTAAAAAATTTAATTAGGAAGACAATCGGGGATTTTTTTTTAAAGAACGACAATCATATTTAAATTAATTTGGCCAGTCACTGTGTAAATTGACTGAATAAATAAAGATAGATGTGAACATCATTTACACGCAGTTTTTACACTCATAAAACCAGTGCAGTCAAATACAACAGTCCTGCAATATAGCCTACCTTTTAAGGATGTTATAATGTTCAGGTTTTGTTGAAACGAGCCCAGAGATGTTAACTCACATTTAGGGTCTCTTTGGAAGGTGTAGTTTCTGGTGCAGTTCATTTTTTATTGCATTATTTACAAAAGTGGTTCTCAAAGTGGGGTCCGGGGACTACCAGGGGTCGTTGAGGGGCCTCCAGGGGATCCCCGGCAAAAAGGGGAACAATTTTATTTTCACTAAAATTCTATCCATAAGTAACACAATGACAGAAAGTATGACTATTTTAGTCATGAGTTTCATACATTTTCTGTTATAAAACATTTAAAAGCAAAAATCCTATGAGATGGCCAACCCTCGGACAAAATCTTATCAAATGGGGGTCCATGGTCTAATTTGTGTCAGTTTACGGGTCCTTGATGTAAAAAAGTTTGAGAACCACTGATTTTCACTATTTAGTCTAACTTTATTAATTATAATACAAAATAACAGAAACACCTTCAGCCTCCAAAATGAGTTAATCATCCCTTCTCCACAAAACATTATAATCTTCATGATGGTAGATTTGTTGCTGCTGTTGTTGTATTGAAGTTCAGTAGTTTTAGCTGGGTGTAGCTAATAAACTGGCAACTGAATGGAAATATGAAGCTGTTGTGGATCTGAGTAAATTTCTCAGAATTTGTAGTGCGTTTGGGAAGGGGTAGACAATACACGATTTGACTAATACAAAGGAGGTAAAGTTTGATGTTTTTTCCATTTCAATCAGCAGATTTTTTTTGCAACGTTCTTTTTAACATGATATTAATGATAGGTTGGAATTCATTTCAGTACCATGAATCACAATGAGCTGACTGTTCTTCCCTTTCTTGGAGATGTTTCCTCAAATATCACCTCACTGTCATTGTAAGTATAGAATCCCCTTCAGGTTTTCCTGCCTCTCCTGTCACTGGCTTTGTATTTCTTAATGTAAAGCTAGACCTTATTTATGTTAAAGACAGACAATGTTTGTCTGTACTGTCTAATGACTTTAGATTCTTATATTATTTTGAACTGCTTTCAGTTTATGAATGACATCACATGCCATTTGGTGTGATCTGTTTTCTTAACGTTTCCACCAAAGACAAAAATGACTTTGTGAAACATTTTTTATATATATATAATTAATAGCTTTTGAAGTCTTGTATACTGATACCATGTTATCTGTCTGAAAATAAATTTCTGAATGATAGTGTTTTATATGATTCAGAGTTCACAATCGGATCTCAGAGCTGTTGATGCATCAGCTGCAGCCCTATGTTTCCTTGGAGACACTGGACCTGACGTCCAACTCCATCTCTGAGCTCAAAGTTGGATCCTTCCCCTTCATGCAGCTGAAATATATGTAAGCAAATACTGCTTTTTTAAAAATCATCTTGATCTAACCTTTTTCCCCTTAAGGAAGATAAGAAGGTAAATCATCTATTAAATAGCCTGACAGTACAGTTTGAAAATAAACTAAAACTAGGGACCACTACTCTATATATCTGCCAAGATGACAAAATGTATAACAAATATTTTATTTTAATAATAGAAAATGTTAAGGATGTAATCTAATGTTCTGTAATTACAAAGGTGGGCTTTCTTTAATACGACACTAAGATGACATAGCAAGTTTTACAGAGCAGATATTAAAGCAGAGCAGTGCGATACAGTGCAAGATATTTCAAGCACGCTTTTCAAGGTTTCTCTAAAGAAACCTGATTCATGTACACAATAAGTTTAACTGCAGAGCAAACAGTCTTCTTTTGGGCTCCAATGTTTCTGCTCTTTTATCTCATAGGAATTTGAGTAATAACAAGATCAGCGTCCTCGAGCCTGGCTGCTTTGAAAACATCTCCAGCTCCCTGCTGGTGCTGAAGCTGAACAGAAACAGATTAGCTGTGCTGCCATCGAAAGTCTTCAAACTTCCACAGCTTCAGTTCCTGTAAGTATTGTGCAAATCTTTATGGTGCAAAGTGAAAATCATTAGTTAAAAATTGATCTGTTGGTAGACAAAACTGTTTTAAATTATTTTGCAGCAAGTCAGGGTTAGGTAATTGGCTGAATTTACTGTAAATCAAATTTAATAATAATAATGGCTCTTTGTGTGTGTTTTTTATTATTATTTTTGTTTGTTTTTGGTGGAAGAAAACTTATGCTTACTCTCATTGCAGTGAAATGAAGCGTAACAAGATCAAGATAGTGGACAGCCTGACATTCAAAGGGATGGACTCACTGAGGTCACTGAAGATGCAGAGGAACGGCATCACTAAGCTCATGGATGGCGCCTTTTTTGGGCTTAACAACATTGAAGAACTGTGAGGACAGTGTTATAAACAGAGGACAGTGTTATAAACACTTTAAAGTGCTATTTAACAGCATGTTCATCAGCAGTTGTGGAACTGTAAAACCTTTACAATAGCTATAAAGAGGTCTGTAAATGCATTAAGATAAGTGGGGAGCAGGAATAAAACATAACTTATTCTGTTTTTTTTTCAGAAACCAATCTCTGCATCTGTTGTGAAATGTGTACTGATCATGTTGGCCATGATCTCTCTAGCAGATAGGACATAAACACAAATCAGTTTATGTAATGACGGATGTTTTTATTAATGCCATTTTGTTATCTGTGTCTCAGAGAGATGGAGCACAACAACTTAACTGAGGTCAACAAAGGTTGGCTATATGGTCTGCGCATGTTGCGGGTTCTGCGGGTCAGCCAGAATACCGTGGGCATCATCCGACCAGACGCCTGGGAGTTTTGCCAAAAGCTGGAGGAACTGTGAGTGTGTTCCTTCATCAAAATCCCCATACAGCTAAGAGTTCATACTTTCTTTCATCAGCCCTGGGCTTTTAAATGTATTCTGTGTGCTCAGAGGAGTTACTGTTATCTTGTTGCAGTACTGTTGGGTCTGGAGCTGATTCAGTGCTCTATTGACTGGATGACAATTTGTTTTGGAAATTTCCGGCCACATTGACACACAGAACTGCTGTTCATCTGAAAACTGTTTGAACTAATCTTCAGCATATTTGTGGTTGTTTTGTGCAGAGACTTGTCCTTCAATCATCTGACTAGACTTGAAGAGACAGCTTTTGTTGGTTTAGGTCTCCTGGAGAGCCTGAACCTGGGAGAAAACTCCATCAGCCATTTGGGAGAGGGAGTGTTCAGTGGCCTGGCAAGTCTACGCACCCTGTAAGTGCTTCTTCTGATCAGTCTA